CCTCCCTCCCTCCCTTTCCCTCCAGGCCTGGAACCTTCTCGCAGGCCGACGTCGAAGCCGCAGCCCGCGCTGCCAACATTTACGACTTCATCCAGTCCCTCCCCGACCGCTTCGAGACCGTCATCGGGGAGGGCAGCGTCGGGCTGTCCGGGGGGGAAAAGCAGCGAGTGGCGATAGCCAGGGCCCTCATGCGGAAACCGGAGGTGCGTCCAGCGCCCCCTGCTCGCGTTAGTTGGCTCGCTTCGAAGTCGAGCTCCTGCCGACCAGTCTGATTGCTCTCCCTCACCCTCCCTCCCTCTCCCTCGCCTTCCCGCCCTTCTCCTTCCTTCTCTCCTCTTCTTGCACTCTTCTCTGTCTCGACCACCAGGTCCTTCTGCTCGACGAGCCCAGCTCAGCGCTTGACCAGAGTTCCCAGGCGATCGTCCAGGCGGCGTTGGAAAGGGCAGCGGAGGGGAGAACGACCCTCATCATTGCTCATGTACGAGAGAGGGAGGGAGGGAGGGAGGGATGGGGTGGTCATTTTTTTTTAAGTTTTCGGGGTCGGAAAATTCTCAGGGTCTGACCAAGATTCACACCTCCGCATTTTGAACACGAACAGCGACTCAGCACCATTGAGTCCTGCGACAGCATCATTGTTCTCAAGAGCGGAGCCGTGGTCGAGCGAGGCACCCATGCGGAGCTCCTGGCCAAGGAGGGGGTGTATGCGGCCTTTCGCGCCCAGCAGACATTCATGCAGCCCCCAAAAGACGTGGAGCCACGGAGAGCCCAGGCAGTGAAAGAGCCGGAAAGGATCTGAAACCCTCGCTATCGGGGATGGGAAGGATTTGTAAAGGAGTGCAGCAGGAGGCAGCCCTGGTCCTGGCTGAGGCCGTCTTGTACAGGTGAAAAGGTAGTCAGGGAGCACGAGACTAATGGATCGCGCATAGAGACTGGTGACGGCCGATATCCGTTACGCGGCCAGGCCACAAATATAAGGCGTCAGAAATCCAAATCCAAGAATCTTGCATCAGATCTAAGAGGGCTGTAAAGGACAGTCTGTTCGTAAAACCTGCATATCATTGCTGCTGCTTTTTGGATGGTACTTTTGTGTTAATTTTAATTGTTTTTTTGGACATTTTGAGTGCATTCCACGTCGCAATCTTAATAGTCTTTTTTCCCGAAAATTGCGGCCTCCTTACCCCCATGTGACCAAATCGTCCGAGGCAAGTAAAAACATCATCGGGAAAATCCACTTAATCCCCCCCTCGTCGAGACGACTGTGGCTTGCCCTGCGGGACTTGTAGTCGGGCACCGTCTCGTGTCCGACGACGGGCCTTCACCTCGCATAAAAACTCCACTATCCCTCTATAATCACCACCAACGGATAGCGGAACTCTTTGACGCTGTAATTTCCTGTCGGGACTTTTCCCTTTCTCTCTGTCAGCCGCGGATGAAGTCATTCTCTTTTTCTCATCGCTGTACAAAACCTGGGGCAAAGTAGAGTCCGAGGCGGCAGTGCTGAATGGCGAGCTGAACCTATATTCTCCTGTTACGCTTCGTCCTCCCCCATCCACCACGGGCAGCTTGTCTCGACTGCGACACGTAAGAAATCCGGACGGTGAAGTCTTTTCTCCGGGTGCTTCATCTTGTATTGAAGGTGGCGTGCAGTCCTGAAGAAGGTCGTTTCGAACACACATTACGCCTTGTCCCAGCTCCCGCTTGTGGCTACCCATGAATTTTATAAGCGCATGTTGTGTCATCGGCAGCGGACCGAATGTCAGAATATCCACCTCAAAGTGTCCCGTGCCCTCCTCCCGTGTCCGTGTGAGCTCGTCACGAGCCTCCAATTCGGGTTGCCACCGCATCGTGTGCAAGTTTCGTAACATCTGCTCTCCAGAAGTTCTGTGAGAGGCAGCTGAACATTCTTCATGCACGCGGAGTGACTCGTCTAAGGCCTGATGGTGTCGAAGGCGCCACAACGGGTCCTCACACGGTAAAGGGTAGAGCAAAACTATCTCCTCCACCAAATGTACCGCCGTGTTGGTTCCCATGTCCTCCATGAAAGCTGGACCGCCCTCCCGACCCGACTCATTCTCCTCCGGGGTGTCGCTCATCCAGCTTACGCGAGAAGAATTGCTCTGCCGCTCAGGTAAATTGTGGCGAGAAGGGGGGGGCGCATTACCTCCGGCATTCGAAACATGCTCCCGTCTCTCCGGTAAGGATTCTCGGCGTCCAGCACCACCCTCCTTCGTGTCCTGCGCAAAGTCTCCTGGTAAGGCAGGTCTTGAAGGGGTTTTACTACCAGCATCGTCTTGCTGGTTCTCAGATGCACGTCTCTCTGAATCGGGACGAAAACCGTAAAAACAACAGTGTGAATTTGTGTTTCGACTACCTTCAGCACGTGGTCGATCTCGGCGGCGGAAGAAATCTACGTTTTTAAATCCCATAAATTGAAAACTGAAGTTACTCAAGCAAACGGTGATAAGAAGGGGTGGAAAACTGGAACGATAAGAAGAAGGACGCATGTAGCGGGTAGACGAGACTGGCCTCCCTACTTGGCGCACGATTGCCGCTCTTGCCATCGCCCTTGCAATTTCCGATGACTCCCCGTATTGCCAAAATGTATCAGCACCATCTACACTGCCCTGTTCAATATTTGTTGCCGCGAGGGGAGAGAACTCACCAAGGTAAAGAGCGAGGGGGTGAGCTGTATTCAACAGTAGAGAAAAAGCGGCAGAGACCGGGCGGTGGTCGGAAATGATGGCCAAAGGGCCCCTTTCCAGAGCGTCGTAAGCCAGTGGCAGTAGCCTGTGAGACACCCCAGGAGTCGAGCGGTAGAGGATCCTGTCGGTATATGACGGCGTCAGATCGATCCATGGTCTTTTCGTCTCCTGTGTAACGTAGGCTTTTTCGACCACAGATGGTACGATGAAGTCTTCGCCGTAAGCAGCCTTGTTCCATTTGTAGGTCGGAGGAAAGACGATGGGGCACTCTCCAAATCCGTGCAACATGAGCCCCTTTTGGATGGAAGAGATAAGGGTGTCCATATGTTTTACCCACGACCAAGCGCGGGCCACTACGTCCATCAATGATTGCACAGTCTGGTGCTCCATGCCCCGCACTCCCAATTCTACACAAGCGAGCCGTGATTCTTCGTCGCCTTGTCTCAATTCCTCCCCTTCTTTCCACTCCTCGTCGCCGTGATGCGTTCGCCACAATGGACCACGAGGAATGAGGGGCAGGTTCGCCGCACCTTGAGATTCAGCGCTCCAGAACCTTGAGTAGCCCACAGCCCGCCAGTTGCAGTCCATACCGGGACGACTGACTCTCTCCAGCATGCTTTGACATGCTACCGCGGACTCTACAACCTTGCTTAAGACCTCGGACGGGCTGTGACCCCGTGTTCGATAATTTAAATTGCCTAATAAGAAGACATGGTGGTACTGTAAATGCGTGTCGAAAAGCTCGTGTTCACCATTGAGTCGCAATTTCCGAAGCATGGCTGCCACATGTCTCGCGCGGTAATCATCATCATAGCTGTACTGATCCCGTTCAGGGAGGTGAGCATTGATAACTGCAATGGATTGATCATAAAAACGGAAGCTCAATCCGAGCAAACCCTTAGTGCCTGTGCAAGTTGCCCGGATGGGGCGCTCGTTTACTCCTATCAAACGGAAGGCGCCAGACTCGACATCGACCGTACGAACAAAGAGCATGAGAGCCGACTTGGAGGCGTGCGTGGCATCGTTTAGCTCCGCTGTTGCCACAAGCGAGAACTTAGCGTTGCCCCCTAGCTGCTTGTGAACGGCTTCCCGCAGATGTAAAAAATCGGTGCTTCTCTGTACCGCGATTGCATAGATATGGTATCCGCCTGCAGGAATCCAATGCTCCAAGCCCTCCGCCAGCAAGTTTCGGGATAAAACAGACAGCAAAAGATTGTTCTTAGGCAGGGGCTCGCAAGCCAAGTCGAAAGTGGTAAGAAAGATGCTATGCGAGTGAAGCGCTGGGTTGGAAATTGCCTGAGAAGAATCGGAAACTAGCGCCCGCCTCCACCACGAATGAGAGGTTCCCCCGCCCACCGCTGTATCTTCTCCTGGCATTGGCGTTGATATCCACTGCGAAGAGAATCGAAGCCTATCTATCGCATCTCTGTACGAATCACCGAAAAAGGCACCCACAACGCGAGGACAACAACGACACATCCACTTAGTCGCACCAAGACTTTCAGGGAAACTGTAGCAAAGCGCATCGACAAATGCCATCGCCAGATTCCACTGTCAGACGATGAAGCATATAGTGATATAAATAAGATCATGAAGGGTGAGCAATCATTGTGAAA